CTCACGTTGACCGAGCTGGCCAATGGGAGCGCGCGGAGCGGTGACGGGGTCGCCCGGCAACGCAGCGGAGGGGTCACGTGACTCGACGGGACCAATGGCGGCGCGCGGAAGGAGGTGGTCGCGGGCAGCCGCCCTCATGTGACTCCAGCGGACCAATCGGCCGCAGAGGGGCGTGGCGGGGGCGCTGTCATGGCGGATGGAGAGCGATCGCCGCTGCTGCCGCCCGAGGCGGGGCCGGGGCCGGGCGGGACCGCGGCCGCCGGTGAGAGGAGGCGGGGTCACTCGGGAGCGGCGCGGTTTAACCGGGGGCGGGGTCTGGCGAGGCGGGAAAGCCGGAGGGGCGTGGCTTAGCGCGTTCTGGGAGCAGGGGCGTGGTTTCAATGGGCGCGGCTTAATCACTGACCCGCGGTTCGCCATTGGCAGGCGGCGGAGGGGCGGGTCCCGGCGAGGGCCCGCCCCCTTACTCGCCATTGGGCAGCCCCGAGGCGGTGGGGGCGGGGCCCCCAGCGGTCACGTGCCGCGTTTGCCAGCGGCCAATCAGTGTCGAGGGCAAGACGCACCAGCACGTGGTGAAGTGCGGGGGGTGCGGCGAGGCCACGGTAAGGGGCGGGGCCTAAAGGGGCGTGGACGGAAAGGGGCGTGGACTGCAAGGGCGTGGCACGGGTGGGGTCCGAGTGGGCGGGGCTTGGGGAGGATGCCGAAAGGGGGATGGTCCGAGGGGGGCGATGGGGTGAGGGCGGGGTGTGAGGCTGGGTGGGGCCTTAAAGAGGCGTGGTCTGAGCTGGGTGGGGTCAGAGGGGGGCTCTAGGGAGAAGGAACGGGGAGGGGCCTGGGGGGGGCTTCCCCCTGAGGTGGGCGAGGTTTGAGGGCGTGTCCCCTGAGGCCCCGCCCCTTTTGTGGCGGCAGCCAATCCGTACGGCCCCTGGCGGGAAGAAATACGTGCGGTGTCCCTGCAACTGCCTGCTGGTGTGCAGGGCCTCGGCCCAGCGCATCGCCTGCCCACGGCCATACTGGTTAGACTGGGAGGAGAGCCGGGGGGGACTGGGAGGGCCTGGAGGGGACTGGGAGGCGGCTGGGAAGGGTTGGGGGGTGACTGGGAGGGGTTGGGGGGATTAGGAGGGAGCTGGGATGGTGTTCTGGGGTATTGGGAGGGACTGGGAGAGGTTATTGGGCCGGGCTCGGAGCACCGGGTGTCGCCGGGCCATGCTCGCATCTCTGGTGGTCACTTACGGTGGTCATTGGGCCATACTGGGAGCACTGGGAGCAGTCACTGGGCCATACTGGGAGCACTGGAAATTGCTGGGCCATACTGGGAGCGGTCACTGGGCCATACTGGGAGCAATGGGAGCGGTCACTGGGCCATACTGGGAGCACTGATGGGGTTTCTGGGCCTTACTGGGAACACTGGAGGGAACTCTGGGTGGGGGGTCCTTGGCCAAACTGGGAGCAGTGAGGGGGATTCCTCTGGGCTCCCTGCCTGCCCCATCCCATCCCAGTATAACCCAGTTCTCTCCAGTAAGAGGATCATCAACCTGGGCCCGGTGCAGACGGGAGCCCCCAGCCCAGACCCACCCCCCGGCGGGGTGCGAGTGGCCTGTGCCCACTGTGGGGGCCCCTTCCTGGTAAGCCACGCCCCTTTATGGCCCCACCCACCCCCACCACCACGCCCCATTTGTGACCACGCCCCTTTTCCCATAGTGGGCGGAGCTGCCCGACCGATCCCTGGCCCGCTGCCCCCACTGCCGCAAGGTGTAAGTGAGGCCCCGCCTCTCTGGGGGCGTGGTTATCGCGGCCACGCCCTTTCCGCGCGCGGGCGTGGTCGCTGTGGATGTGACCACGCCCCTCTGACCACGCCTAGGTCTGCGATTGGCCGGCGCTTCCCGCGGCGACGCTGCCTCTGCTGCCTGCTGGGGGCGCTGCTGATGGGCGGGGCCGCGGCTGGACTGGCGGTGAGGGCGGGGCCTGGGTGGGGCGGGGCCTGAGGGGGGCGGGGGAGGGGCTCAGGTGCGCACGGGGCGGAGTCTGGCATCAGGTTTTGAGAGCGTGGGGCTAAAAGGGTGTGGCTTAAATGGGTGGGGCATGGAAGGGGAGTGGCTGGGGCGTTGGATGGGGGTTGGAGGAGGGGTGGGACTTCAGTGTGGGTGTGGCCTAAAGGGGCGGAGCCCAGCTGTCTGAGGGGCGTGGCTTCGAGGAGGCGCATAGCTCAGAGGGTGTGGCCCAGTGGGTGTGTCACCAGTGGGCGGGGCTTAAAGGAGCGCGCCCCCAGCAGTCAGGACAGAAGAGGGCGTGGTCGGGAGGGCGAGGCCGGTGGAAGTGACCACGCCCCCCTGCCCCGCCCAGGCCGGGACGTGGTGGCTGTGGCGCCGGGCGCGGTGGGTGCCGGCGGCGTGGGCGGTGCTGGGGGCGGGGGCGGGGGCGTGTCTGCTGCGCGCAGCCTATTGGGGCTGCGTGCGGGTCAGCCAGCCCCTCCCCCCGCGCGCCTGACCACGCCCACTCGCCGCCGACACGCCCACCGGGACTCGCCCCACCCGCGCGGACGAGTCCCACCCCCTGTGGGACACGCCCCTTCGCCGTGGGACACGCCCAGGGGCGTGGCCGCGTCACGGGGCGCGCCTCTGTCGCGGTGACGTCACTGCGGGACAATTGAGCCACTTCCGACTCCGCCCCTTCCCCAAGCATGGCCCCGCCCCCTCCCTGCATGCCTCGGGCCCCGCCCACTTGTACATAAGCCCCGTCCCCCTCTGTACAGTCATATTTATTAACGGCCGTGCCTGCCAAAGGCAGGCTTGTATGTACATAAACCCAAAAATCGACGTTTCACCCTCAAATTCAGCTTTATTAAAATATAACGGGAGGGAGGGGCGGTCCCTGAGGGGGTGGGGCTGTGGGAGGGGCCTATGGGGCAGGGGGGAGGGGCGGGAACCGATTTTGGGACTGTTTGGGGAAGTTTTGTGTCTGAGAAGAGACAACAGCACCTGAGAGGCCCAAACCTGGGCCGTTTTTTTTGGGGAATTGGGATAAAACTGAGAGTGAGATGCCGTCTTGGTCTTGATGACATCATCAGAAACCGAATCTGGGTGGTTTCAGGCCAGTTTTGGATCATTTCAAGGCAATTTTGGGTTGAGATCTGGCTGAGTCAAGGTGGGTGACGCAACCTAGGCCTTGGTGACGTCATCAAACCCTTATTTTCGATCAATTTTGGGACATTTTGGGGTCGACACGCACCTAATCAAAAGCGGATGACGCCGTCTAGGCCTAGGTGACGTCATCAACACCCAGCTTGGAGTCGCTTCGAGTGAATTTAAGCCAATTTTGGGCTCACTTCAAGACGCTTTTGGCTCAACCCAAACCCAAACCCAACCCAACCGGGCTTTTGACTCGCTCCAAAGCTCCCACGGGGCCAATCTGAGCCGCGCACGTCCGCTTAAAAGCGGGCCGCGCCCTCCGAAGCCCGACTCTGAGCCCAATCCCAGCCCGGTTCCGAGCCGACTTCTAGACGGCGAGCAGGGCGGTGATGGGGCAGTGGTCGCTGCCGGCCACGGCGCTGCGGATCTTGGAGTCGCACAGGGAGCCCAGCAGGCGCCGCGACAGCACGGCGTAGTCGAGCCGCCAGCCCACGTTGCGCGCCCGCGCGCCGCCCAGGTAGGTCCAGAAGGTGAAGGCGCCGCGCGCCTCCGGGTACAGGTGGCGGAAGGAGTCGACGAAGCCGGCGGCCAGCAGGCGGGAGAAGCCGTCGCGCTCCTGCGGCGTGAAGCCGGGGTTGGCGCGGTTGGCGCGCGGGTGGCACAGGTCGATCTCGGCGTGCGCCACGTTGAGGTCGCCGCAGAGCAGCACGGGCTTGCGGGCGTCCAGGCGCCGCAGGAAGGCCAGGAAGGCGGCGTCGAAGCGCTGCCGCGGCTCCAGGCGCACCAGGCCCCGGCCGGCGTTGGGCACATAGGCGGAGACGACAAAGAGCGAGGGGAACTCGGCCGTGACCACGCGGCCGTCGACGTCGTGCTCGGGGTCACCT